CAGCCTAGGAGTCGGACCAACTCTCCACTAAAGCTAACCAAGGGGACGTCAGCCGACTATAGGTCCTTCCTTCCAGGCTCCATCCGTTCAAATGCCTCAAGAAAGATGATGTCAGCTGAGCTTCTGGAGTCAACCTGACTCTGCTTTACCTCAAAGTCGTTTATCATCGATTTGACCACGAGGGCATCATTGTGCAGATATTGGATATCATGAGCGTCATCCTTGGTGAAATAAACTACCTCCTCCACATGGGGGCGCTTTCGCGAGTTCTCGTCCTCATGTTCGTGCTCCCGAACTGAATTTCTGCTTGCTAAAGTGGTGCACTCTACTACTCTGGACCCACCCGTGATCATGTTGATGGTACCATGAAAGGGCCGCTCTACAGGTGGTGGGTCTCAGGGAGGCTGGTCCCTATCCCGATCCCTGCTTGACTACGACACATCTCTGGGTTGTTCAGCAGGTCGGCGTCTGTCCTCCCTCTTAATGAACGACTTTAGATATCCTCGGCGGATCAACTCCATGATCTTGTCCTTGAGGTTGTGGCAGTTCTATGTATCATGGTCATTGTCCCAATGAAAGTGGTAGTACTTAATGGGATTCCTATTAGTAGGGTCTCCTCTCATCTGGGGTGGCCATCTGACATACTTGGTCATTTTTATCTGCATCAATATCTCCCCCCTTTTTTGCATTCAGCGTGGTGTAATTCCTGTTCTGGACGGGGGGAGTGTATGAATGCCATCTGGAAGACCAGCTGCTTTTGCGTGGAGACCTACTTCTCCTTGGTGACCTACTACGTCGATTCTAGGGAGACCTACTGGGCCTTGGTGACTTGCTTGTCGCTTGTCACTTAGCTCTAACCGGGATCTGAGTGCCTCTTCGACCTTCATAAACTTGGCTGCTTGGTTAAGGAACTCCTCCATCAAGGCCGGAGGGTTCACCTCAACCTCCTATCGCAAGTCCAAATGTCGGATGTCGTTGACCATTGCTGTGAACTGGATGGCTGGGTTGAGATTAGGAATCTGTACCCACTCCAAGTTGAATCTTTTGATGTAGTCCTGAAGCTTTTCATCTAGTTGCGAGATGACATTTAGTAAATAGGTCGCCGACTTCGGATTCCTCTTACTTGTCACGAACTGCATGGTTAATAGGTCAGCGAACTGGTTCCAGCTTCTTATCGAGCTCGCGACCAACCCAGAATACCACATTCTAGCTATGCCCTAGAAAGTGGTAGGAAAAGTTATGCATAGGCTTGCATCATTTGCCCCGTGTAGTTACATCAGGGCCTAGAAACTATCAAGATGGTCGACGTGGTTAGTTTTCTTGTCGTAGGATTCCAAACTAGGTGCCTTGAAGTCTTTAGGATGTAGGGTTGTGAGGATCTTGGTAGCCAGTGGTGAGGTGCAGGACATCGGCTGCGCTGGCGAGGTGCCGATCAGGCTGGCCTCCTTCTTCTCTTCGTGTTTCTTCTCCTCCTCATTTGCATTTGGAGCGAGTTGACTCCTTCCTATGGTGTGGCATGTGCGTCTGTAGCACCTCCTCCAGGACCCTTCAGTCGAGCTAGTGGCCTCGGTTCCAATTGTTGTTGTGGCTCGGCTTAGTTCTTCCATTGGGACTTGGTTTTGGCCATCGGAGCGACGAGGTGGGTTAGGAACCTGGTTCTGGTTCTGGTCGGTGGGCTGTTGATTCTGATTCGACTTGGCATTCAAATTCTGGCTGGCATTTTTGTTCTACTGTTGTGGCTACTGGTGTTGCATCCCTACTAGGATGGCAAACCACTCCTCCCATGTGTTCATTTGTAGGTTCATTCCACGGACGTACTACACCAATTCATTGAACTGGGGCACATCAATCCTAATAGGTACCATTGAGGGCTCGATTAGAGGGAGAGGCACGTTTACTTGGTGCAGGGGAAAGGTTGGGTTCGGCATAACAGGAATGTCTAGCAGGGTCAGGGGCACTGTGAACTACCTAATAGTTATAGAGGGTCCTTAGGATATACTACAGGCTGGTCTTGCCCCCCCTGTGACTGAATTGTTGTTGACGGGAGGGTTGCTAGAGGATGCCATTCAGAAAAAAATGGATATGAGAGCATGACTTTTGTACAATTTCCCACAAACGACACCTATTCATGATGCATGATATGGCAACTCCCTACTGGAAGGTGACTTGGATGCCGAGCTAGCTAGTTCGCCAAGTCGACTTGCAAAGAGATAGTACTAGAGTGCCTGTGCTGCTTTACCCGGGGTGGGAACTCCGATGCTTAAGTCAGCGAATTGGAGATTTTGGAGAGAGCTAGAATGCTACATAGCTAGAGTATTCGAGAGCTAAGTCGCATGTACCTTTTCTTAGGGAGGAGATGTCTTTATATAGGCGTAAGAAACCAAGGGCTTCCTATAACACGTCCAAGATTCCCAAGGAACCACTCCCGCCATGTTCAGAGGAGATCTCTCAGACGGATACGTGATCCACACAGTGGAATAAGCTCTGTTCTATCAACTCCGATGCGGACAATGCGGATAGACGAGCTTAATGGTCGAGCGTTGTGATCCCAGAGAAGTCGGAGACAGTAACTCACTCGAGGAGGAGATCCAACAGGTTGCTAGCTGAACTCAGATCAAGTCGATAGAAGTAGGTTGCCTCTCATGCCAGCCTAGCGTTTTGACGGGACCGGGGTAATCAAGTAGAAGCAAGTCGTATCATACACCAACCTAAGATCCCATCTCACTGTTCGTAGTTCGATCTACTGAGGTGGCCCCAAGGTCACTAATGCAGCCAAAGTGTCGAAGGTAATCTTATTACATGGTGCCGAGATGATCTGCTTATGTGGTGCCAAGGTGATCTACTTACATGGTGCCAAGGTGTACCCAGTTGTTCTAAGATACCACGTGTCATTTGGAGGACAAAATTACCCCTCATCACCTACAATCATCTTCCAACCACATGCACGCAAGTAAGCCAATTCTTCGAGGGTCAGACATAATTGATTAGCGCCAAAGCAAAATACCATCTTCTTATCTTCCCAACACTTGAAAGCTGCTTTGAGTAATAGCCAATCTAAATTGACGCGGGCCAAATGAATTTCATTTGGCCATGTAATAGAGCCAAGTAAATCAACCACATTTGGTGCCCCACTTCAGATTCTTTCTACCAAACATCGATCACAACTCGGGTATTCAAAGAGCTTAGTATCCACTAATTGGGAATTTTCCCATTTTTTTTATTCTTGCTTCCCCCTTTCTCCCTTACTCGAAGATTATTCGGGTGTTCTAAAAAGGAAGACTACAAACTGAATGACCCTAGCTAAAAAGGGTAAATTTCTTAACCTACCCTTATGGTTTAGCTAATTGACCCTAGCCAATTTCTTAACCAAAAAGAGTAAACTCTGTACACCTTGTGAGTTCCTTAAATTAGAAGTCCTTCTCATCTTCTCGAAGTGTGGTCTCTACTGAATGATTTGTTCGGTTTGGAGGGATTAAGTTTTAGTTTGGTGTTCACAGGTTGGGTGCGTAACAGTGCAGCCCATGCTTTGGCTGCAAAAGGTAGTTCAAGTTTGAATGCTGGTTGGAACAAGGTTTTAAAAACTGACCCGGAAACGGAACCGTTCTAGCCATCGGTTTCTGGGTCAGTAGTTCGACCATCTGGGTCAAACGGTTTGAATGGTTTGAACATCTTAGATTGGAATATTAGGGTTAGTAAGGTTTGAATGAGAGAGATTTGAGAAAACTATCGGTTGAAAGAAGAAGAAGAGAAGGACTTACAAATTGCAACGGCGACGACGACGGCAATGGCGAACTACAGCAGCAACAATGGCATCGTTGGTGGCAAACTGGTGATGAAAGTAGATCTGAGATTTCTCAATCTCAGATCTCACACTCTCTTATTGTCTCACACATCTCAGATCTCTCTCACTGTCTCACACAGATCTGTCTCACACATCTCAGATCTCTCTCACCGTCTTGCGCAAGAGAGACAAATCTGTGCAGATCTGAGATTTCTCAGTCTCAGATATGAAATTTTGTTAGTTTTTAAAACCTTGTCGCAAACCGTTCTCCAAATCGAATGCTTCAATGATCAAACCGTCTAGGTCTTCATTGACTAATTCAACAGTTTTTTACCAAATACCAAGTTTGGGGTAAAACAGAACCGATCGCCTAAATGGTTTCCAGTCCGAATAGCCCGATCGTCTGGGTCAACGATGGTTTGAAAACATTGGGTTGGAACACTCCCAAATTGGCTTGCTCCTTTGATGGTGGTTGAAGGAAGCAATTTGGTGTGAGATTCAAGAACCTCCTTAAAGTCCCTTAGGTTTTCTTTTTGTTGCTTTGTTGGTTTTCTTTTCTTTGTTTCTAGTTGTTTGTTGATGGTTGTTCTATTGTTAATCTTTCTTACAAAAAAAGGATTATAACACCTCAAGATTAGACCTGTTCATGGGCCAGGTGACTTGTTATAAGTTGGGCTGAGTCATAATTTTAGGCCTGCGGGCTTGGGCCTAAAGCACCAGACCCAACTTTTTTTCGATCTGGGCTCAGGCTTTCTCAAAAAAGCTCAGCCCAAGCCCGAACCAGACTTGATACTATATATTAAGTGATAAAAATATATTTTATTTAATAAAAGATATATATACAATATTTTTTCTTTGTTCTTCTCTTTTTTCCAAGTAATAGTGAGATGCTTATTAGTTTTAAGTTTTGAAAGTTTTTAATATAAATAAAACACTTTTTATTGAATGGAAAAAGAAAAAAAAAATTCTGTTTTCAAATTTTTGGCCGGGCTTTGAGCTTTATATGAGGGCCGGACTCGGGCTCAAGACCTAGGCCCGATGGTCGGGCCGGGCTCAGGCTCAGACCTGAGTGTATTTTATTGATACATATACAAAATCCGACCCAAACCCGACCCCACCCAGCCCATGAACAGGTATACTCAAGATCATTTTATATGATCAATTGCCCATAAATTGATCTCATCCTAATCCTACCAATATTAACACATCCTACATGAAATTTCTTTGTAAGAGTCAACGTTTAACAAGTTGAAACATTCCCACATCCTTACATGTATCAACCTAGTGTTTATTTTAAAAAATAAATATATAAACAATTTAAAGTTTGAAAAATAACAAGAAGAACAATATCCAATCGTGGCCTTGTAGCTTCTTGTTTCTAGTAAAGCAGCTTCTCATGTCCAAAATGCAACCTACCAAGTTGCTAATTGCATAGAAAGTAGTCCTTTTTCTTCCAACAAAATGTGATGATGTCACGCATTCTGTGTGTTACCATTTGATTCTTTTGATCTTGGTACAAACCACTTGTTCACACGTTGACGAGTTAGTGCTACCTGTCAACATTCATTAGAAACATGATTCATTTGTGCATATATAGGAGAAACAATATACACTTTACATTTACCAAATATTTATCATATTTAAACCTCATTATCAGACATGTTCATGGGCCAGGTAGCCCGATGAGTTGGCCTGGTTTGGCTCATTCTAAGTCAAACTTAGATATAATTTTAGGCCTGTGGGCTTAGGCTCAGTCTTAAAACACTAGACTTAACCTTTTTCGAGCTGGGCTTAGGCTTTCTCGAGCCCAAGTCCGACTTGATAATATATTAAATAATAAAAATATATATAATATTTTTCTTTGTTCCTCTTCTCTTTTCTCAAGTAATAATGAGATATTTTATTATTCTTGTGTTTTGAGGGTTTTTAATATAAATAAAATACTTTTTTATTGAATAAAAACAGAAAAAACTATTTTCAAATTTTTCGTTGGGCTCGGGCTCAAGCGAGAGTTCGGACTTTATATGAGGGTCGGGCTCAAGCTCAAGACATGGGCTTAATGATCGGAAGCGGGCTCGGGCTCGGGCCTAAATATATTCTGTTGATACATAAACAAAGCTCGACCCATGAGCAGGTCTACTCATTATTTTCCCCCCAACCAAATTTCAAAATATTAGTATCACAAAGCATATAAAAAATGTAAGAAATGGATAAATATTATTATACACTTGGGATGCACAAGGATATAGACGAAAAATCTAGATAGGCCAAATATATTAAGGAAAGTCACACAAATCTCACAAATATACATAAATCTAAGGTTGAAATAAGTATGAATAATGTGTAAACACATAATAGTTAAGGATGAAATACATTACAATAAACACATAGGAACATGTAGATATCATACAATAGTTTTACTAATAATGCATCATACAAGAGAGAAGCATATTATATAAAATAGTTTCTCTCCTTTTCTCATTAACTCCCATAATTATCTCTTCTCATTAATTATGCCATTAACTCTCTTCTTCAATAACTCATGCCACTAATTCTCTCCTCTCCATTACTCCACTAAATTACCTAAAATTCATTACCTTTGTCGATATTGATATCTATCTCATTTTAACTTCAATTTTAGATACATTAGATATGTTTATATTAAACAATAATTATATTAAAATGGAGATATTCTATTATATATTATTGGGCTAAATAATCTACTTCATTTAAAATATAATTAATTTTTAAGTTGATTAATCAAATAATTTGCATATCACAATAAATATTATTTATTTCACTCAATAAAAAAAACAATGTTTTAAAAAACTAACTTGGAGGTTGAATAGTTTTTGGCTCTAGGTTATGGATCAACTGTCTGGGTTAGATGTGTCAAACCATGACATACCATCCACTTGTATACGTATAATATAATATAATTACAATTTTTTTGTGTATACATATTTTTAGGTCCAATTTGTACTTTTTATTTTAGTTTTTAATTTTTTATAAAGAAAAGGAACCAAAATTGAAATTTGAAGCCAAAAAATAAGTGTTTTTGTATAGTGGGGTTGTAAAGATGACGAAAAAGACCCAAAATAAAAAAAAAAAAGATCCATGCAATAAAATAGTTGACGACAAAGTTAAGTCCTCTAAAAGTTTTCAATACATTATATATTGTAACCTATGACCCATTGACTAGGTCAAAAGTTCAATTGCCTGGGTCAAAAGGGTTTGACCAAATCAACAGTTTTTGAAAAAATAATAGGTTTTAGAAAACTCAAAAATAGGGTCGAGTGATGGTTTGAATGGTTTAACCATTTAAGTTAACGACGAGTTGAAAACATTGAATGAAACATCATTAAAATTAAAATCCATTGTTATTTCACTTGAAAATAATAAAAATTAATTAATCATAGTAAAAATAATTTATTAAACTACTTAAAGAAAATAAAAATAAAAAATTGTTATTTATAAAATAAATGAATTAATAAAAAAGTAATAAGATAAATTAAAAACTAATATCCATTTAAAATTCCTTTAAAATTAATATAAAGCTAATACAAAATTACTAGTTTATAATTAAACTTAATAAGCATTAATAAAAATAAAAAATAATATCAATTTTATTAATCTTAAATATAGTTTAATTAACAATCCTATGAACCTCGCCTACGTTTAGACATTAACAAAAACCTTCCATATTGTTTTGAAAAAATAATGTGCAAATACTTTCCTTCCATTAGGATTTGAAATAGAAATTGTTAATGTAATGCATTAATTTTTAAATACCAAATTTACCATTAACCAACTTCATTCAGATATAAATTTACTAAAATACCTCTGAAAAAAAAAATCTTCCTTTTACTTCACTTCGGCTTTTTTACCTTTGTCCAAGAAGAGTAGAGAATTTTATTCTTTGAAAGTCATCAAGCAAAATAAATTAGTGGAGGGTAAAGTTGAAACTTTAGATTGTATATGGTAATAAGTTAACAATAATAAGGATATTTTTGTAATTTCAATGTCTTTGTTAGTGAAAAGCTAAGGAAAAGAAGACATTTGTGTTTTTTCAAAACTATAGGGGTCAGAACACAAGGATGGTTTATAGAATTGTTATGAAGAGGGTTTTTATAATTTTATGTGAAAATAAAATAAAAAATTATAGACCAATAAAATTTTAAAATTAATTAAAAATATAGCATTAAGCTAGAAAAAATAATACAAATTTATCTAAAATATAGGAAATTAACCACCCTCAAAAGGAATTTTTTATATATTTCATTAACAAAATTTACAATGACCATCTCTTCAGCATGAATTAATTTTGGGGTTTGCACACATACACACACATAGAGAGAGAGAGAGAGAGATTTAAGGAAAAGTACATGACAATTAATTGGGGGCATAAAAGGTTAGATAAAGCCACAATTAAGAAGAAGTAAACAGTCGGATCTAATGGGTTAAATGACAATTAATTGAACATGAAATTTGAATTCCAAAAGAATATGGGCTATATCGCAGAACACTACAAACCTGATATGGATAAATATAGACCAACACAAGAGAAATTGTTTCAATATCAATCCATTCTACCCATGCCACATACCCGTCCTCTTGGAAATTGATACAATATACCTTGTTTCAGACATATCATACATCAATATTTTAAATCTTAACTCCAACTTTCCATAGGTATAGATTTTCTCCCTTTTTTGAAAAACATCCATAATATATCGTGCTCATCAACTTAGACCATCTAAATGCCAGCCCGCATTTTTTTTATAGAATCATCATCATCATCATCTAAATTTTGTTTAGTGCCATACTCATTGTTATTTTCTCCAAGGATTAAAATATTGATATTGCCTGATACCCAAAGTTAGGTATTGGTGCATATCGATATAGCCAATAACATTTTTATTTTACAAACATTAGAGAGATTAGACTTATGATCCCAAAGTTATAAAGTTTTTAAAAATCTTTGTATCGTCATATCCGCCGTCTCCAAGTCAACCAATATAGATATGAATCATATGCATAGTTGTCAAGGTGACACCTAGGCAACAAGGCGCCCTTGGAGGCTCGCCTCGCCCAGTCACCAAACAGTTTTGTGCACCAGGTTATAAAATAGTTTTATATCTTTAATTTTTTAACATTATAAATAAAATAGACATTATTAAACTAGAATATTCATTTTATGTGTTTATACACTAACTTCTTTTTATTATTTTCTTATTTTGTTAGGGTTTGGTCAACACAAACATTGCTAACTACTAAATTGAATCCATGGTTCAAAGTATCGATACACCTCTGTGTATTGGCAGAGGTGTATTGGTACTTATAACGATACTCCCCATATTTTTTTTCTTTGGTTTTCAATTTCATATTTAAATAAATTAATAAATATATATATATTATTTAAAAAGATAGGTACCTGAAAACACCGGTAAACAGGTATCAGGACCCCAAAGATAAAGTACAATACACCTGATACGGGGTGTATCGTATCGAAATTTTGATCCTTGATTGAACCCTCAAAAATTTCAAAACCTGAACCAATAAGCAAGGGAAGAACTTGAATTTTTTTCTAATCAACAGATTTTCTTCTTCCACATCTTATTCTTCTTATTCCACCTTTTATTTTCTTCTTTCCTATAACAAAAGTAGGGGTTCAACCCCTATATTTTTTGAATTTTGTTTCCTTTGTTCTTTTTCTTCTCATAAAATGTTGATATTCTAGACTTAAACATGAAATTTATACTTATGAAAATTATGAATCATTATTAAGGAAAGATGGTTATGAAACCTAGGGACAAAGCGCCCCCCCTATCGCCTAGCCTTGCCTTGGTGCCTTGAAAACCATGATCATATGATATGATCAATGCAAGGTGTGTATTGTATCCATATTTTAATCACTGAATTTTTTTTCTATAGAGTCAATGGCATATATTTTATGGTATGTTACAACTTACGGAAGTTTTCTGTGAGACCTTTGGATATATACCATACATCTTTTGCAAGTTAAAATGGTACCACCTATACAAATGTCCTAGTTTGATAAAACGCTCCAAATAAAGGGAATTGATCCAAAAACAAATACCTGCTCCTCCCAGTCAGTCCTCAAGGTTATGTAAACAAGTACAAGAGTTTGAACAAAAGTGCCAAATAACATTCCCATCCAAATTCCCTGCCAAATAAATCATAATTTAGAACAATTAACTTCATCAAGAAACAATTATTGTTCTTTAGCCAGTACGAACGATGGATTACAACACAAAACAAAAAATGATTTGCAAGGTCCTTGTATTACAATGTTTGAAGATTTAAGAAACATATTAATTTTGATAGTACCAAACAATAAATGCATGGGACTAGGCAGCAGATACATCTAAAAGAATTGATATTTTAATCAATTTAGGCCCTTTATAAAAGTTAAATGTCAGTGTCTCAAATTCAGTTTATTAAATACTATATGGTTTTAGTTGAAATATATCTTAATCACATATCTCATCTACTGGAGCTTTGTTCCAATTTCTGAACATTTTATGAATAAGAAAATGATAGCATGTTCTTGTTTCTCCATTGTAATTTCTAAAATAACTTACAGTGTAATAAAATATGACAAAATGAGTGGAAAATTAGGTTGGAAGAACAAGATAAAAGAGCTCACTTTAATGTCAAAATGGAAGATATAACCAAGCACAGCTCCTATAGGAATTCCTACTAGGTAGTAGCAGGCTAAATTCACGTAAGCTACAATACTTTGCCAGCCTGAACCAACCGCAACCCCTAAGAATAAAGAGAAATATAAAATGTCAATTCATATTCATTTGATTTAATAATTTTTTTTTTAAAAAAGGCTATTTGGCATTCCCTAATAGCATCTTCAATAAATAACATTTTAGGGCCCATTTGATTCAGTGGAATATAATCAGAATCGGAATGGTTTATTCCCATAGTCTAATTGGTTGAGACAGGAATTGGGATGAGTTAGAATGGGATATTCCATTCCCAAGGGAGGGGGAGGGAATGATCATTCCCTCAAATGGGGGAATGTAAATGGGATTCTGATTCCGCCCAACCAAACAGTTGGAATCGAAATGACAGACCCTTAATTATAATGGTGTTAGGGTGGAAAGGAAAAGCTTTTGTTGATAAAAACCTTTTTGTTTGAATTTATTGTGTAATAGTTATATGGGACTGTTGTTGTCTCTTTGTCATTCAACTCCTAAAGTTGACAAACACATTACACAATGAGAACTAGTCTTAATACAATATGCCATCAGTTCTTTTCATATTTGCATCTCACATAGTGATGTTAACATTCTTGTCACATGCCTTCAGGCATTTGAGGAGTCAAGATAGGAAGAAACTCACCTGAAAGCACTGGTTGAACACTATTTAGAAGTATGGAGCAAGCTAAAAGAGGTGATAGATCAGCAACAGCTCTGGCCACTTGACGACTCTCTGTAAATATATAAGCAAGCCTCTCACGAAAAAATAGAAAAAAAACAAATAGCACAAGTCCAATGGCTAATGATGTAAGAACAGCCACAACAACTGCAAACTTTGCAGCTCTAGAGCTCCCTCTCCCAAGCTCATTTGACACCCGCACACTGAAAAACAACTCAAACAAACCAAGACAAAAGATTTACTGGAATAGCATAGAGAAGGTACAAATTGATAACAATGACAAGAATTTCTAGCTTCGAAGAGAAACACTCTTTGAAAATTTATCTAATCAGTTTCACTGTTTTCAGTAATTCAGTACTAATTATAAAAGGAAGGGGAAAATATCCTAGTTCAGGCATAATCTATATAGGCTGCATTTGGAATCAGTGTAAAAATATACTGATGGCGTTTTACACTGAACCAGAAAGTGACCATTTCTTTTTTGAAAATAGTGATGGGTGGAAGAGGGTAAAGTATTACATTGATAAAATCGATGTAGTTTTTACATTGATTATTGATGTAAAACTTTAGATCTGATGAGGTTTTACATCGATTATCGATGTAAAACTACACTCCATCCAAATGCATGCAAAACTTAACCGGAGTGTGGTTATACGTCGATAATAATTACACCCTCTTTCCAAACGCATACAAAACCGAACCAATATAAATTTTACATCGGTTCTTGATTTACATCGCATCCAAATGCAGCCGTAACGTAATTAAATAACATATTGAGTGGTATTTGACTCAAAATTGGTATGGGGAAGGTAATGAGATGTATATACCAAAGATATATAACATTTTATGCATGTTACTTGCTGTTTATCTAAGAAARACACTTCAGGGAGATCATAAATATGACATTAAAAAGTTATGAGTAATGATACCTTGTTGCAGCCAAGAAACCAAGAGATATCATCATCTCCCATCCATTGATGTTGAGGCTGGTTCATAAATCATATATTGTAAAATGTACTTCTGTCAATCATTTGAATAATGAAGTAGACAAGAAAAATATAAAATAGCAAGGGAAACAAGAGAATACATAGGGAAATGATATAGTTAATCATGCATTAAAAGTACCAGATAGAAAGAGCATCGATGGCAACTTCAGCATTTTTCATGTTGCCAGTTAAAAGAACTAACACTGTGTTGTACCAGAGCTCAAGACTGTGAGAACAAAACAAGTTAATTAGAAGCAAATTCTATGCAAAGCGAAGCAGAACTTTTTTTTCTAGATTGCAGGAATATATTTTTATTCACAAATTATCCAATGTTGGAAAATGTTTTGAATTAGGTGAGCAAACAATTACTCAATCCAGTAGCTGGATGTATTGAATGAAGCCAATGAGCAACTGTATTTTATGTGTGTTGTGTGAAAGTGTAATTGTGTGGACAGATGGCACCACAACAATAGAAAAATAAAGAAAACAAGAAAACAAAATTTATGTGGTCTAGTAAGATGCTTAATAATCAAGGAGGATATAAATATTTGGAATCCAGATTATGCTGTCTGAAATTTTAAACCTAGAACCCAAAGAGAACAATAAAGAAAAACTCCCTTATCCACAGGAGAAAAACTGAAGCTGGTATTGAAGTGGGACCTAGGGCAAGATTAAAACATGGAAACAAAATGCAGGCTTATGTATATGGAAAAGCTTTTCAAGAGCAAAAAACTTGTTTATCAGAGAAATGACAAGAAAATCAAGTAACAAAAAAAGAATAAAGGAAGAAACAAGATGAAGAGTAGAGATAATACATAGATTTCTGACTACCCAAAAGCCACCTTGTGAATGGCATCTCACAAAACTCAACCTGGAATGCTAGAGTTTATGTACAAGCCTCATATGCCATCTCAGATTGTATGTGTTTGGAAGCAAAGTTTTCTTTCAAGTCCTCACTAAATTGTGATACATAGAAAGTGATGAATGAACTACCAGTTAGATCTCTCTCCATTCTCTTTCTCTTTCTCTTTCTCTTTTTCTTTCTTTTTCTCTCTCTTTACCACATGGTGTATAAGAAACCACACTAGTCTAGGCAAAGAATGGTGGCTCTAAGATATCATGAAGTATCAGAGGAGTACCGGGCTTCTAATATGCAAACTTCATTCTAGTTCATTCTAGTTATTGTTTCATGAGAGTACTCATTATTTCAAGACTGATCTTTGGTTGTAGAGCTCCACCATTACAGTGTTAGAGATATAATGGATAAAATTCAGTTTAGAAAATAAATCCAAAATAAATCTGACACAAAATATCCAAGAAACCACAATAATAATGGATTGAAACCAGTACAGAAGTGCAAAATGAAGCAGGAACACTGTGAATTCAAGGGGCAGAAAAAACATATTTGGGTGGGCTCTTCAAGGACACTAATCCATATGTCATTCGACCTAACAGTCTTATGATATTGTGAAAGACACTCAATTCACTGGCCAGATCAGGGGGTGTGCCTAAGTCTTCCTTGATGGTAACTTGAGGTTATTGGTTTTGTTTAAAATGACTATGTGGTCTAGGGTCAGGGTGGATGTAACTTGTTTCTCTCTCTTTCTCTCTCTCTACCCTCCACCAGATTCAATCATTTGAATGTGTATTGACACTTGAAGCACAATCTTTACTTCAGAAATGATGGTAACTTGCAGGTTATTGGTTTTGTTTAAAGAGACTATGTGATCTAGGGTCAGGGTGGATGGTAACTTGTTGCTCCCTCCCTCCCTCCATCCACCAGATTCAATCCTTTGAATATGTTTTGGCACTTGGAGAACAATCTTTATTTCAGAAATGATGAAATAAGCCATCACTTTGGAGGTCAGTGAAAAGAATTTCATTTGGGATGCCAAACCACCAACTGGGTTTGGCATGATCTATGAACTCTGTATTCATAACAGAGGAGTGTCTGCCAGAAGGATTCAAAGATCAAAGGAGAGCTAATAATAGAGGGCTAAGAAAACTTTCAATCATGGTGTCCCCACCATTGCATGTCTACTCTTGGGCGAACAAAATTTCAATGAAAAGATGTAGACTAAGATGATGCAGATGAGAATAATGGTGACAGAAACTAAGCTTGTACACATTAAACCACATCCAAAATTAAGGAAATTAAATTTTATAACCTGTAATCAAGTAGGTAGTTTTGACATGACATAATTTGATGTGGACTCAAAGGAAAATTCCTTCAAGTTCAAATGCAGATGACCCAAGCTCTCATATGCCTTTTAAAATAATAATGGTTATACCAAGTCTATTTGTAGGACCATGGAAATAGATGCCTACATGAACTGGTGCAGACTTCACAAAGAAATGTCATCAATCTCTAGCTATATTTAGCCCTTTTCCTTTTTGAAAGAAAGGCCTGGACCTGTCCTCCTAACTGAGTTGTTCAAAATTTTAGATCTAAAATCTGCATGTACTCACATTTGAAACCAGAGACCAACCTAACCTATATTCACATACAGTCCTCTTGCTGTTGTCCACTATCTGAAGCACTTCATTGGGCTCACTTCCAATCATTTTTATTATCATGAGAGAAAATACATTTCCAATGTTTCTAGGAAAAATATGAGAAAGTACCACCCCAAAAGTTGAATATTTCTATATATATGGCCCATTTAAAAAATAAATAAATTGAAAGAAAGAAAATCCGTAGTTTCTTCCTTTACCAATTCCTAACACCTTGGTCAAAGTTCCCGGCCTTAGCTTTCCTTACGAAATTGACAATTTTAGCTTTTCAAACCAAAGCTGAAAAATATGAGTGGGGAGATGTTTTCCCATGCTTATTCATCAGATGGCAGGAAATATGTTAGATCAAACATAGTGTTCCAATCCCCTCATGGTAATTTTTATGGTCTAATTTTAAATTATGTCCATGAGGCTAGAAAAAAAATTCCTTTTTCATATGGTTTAATAAATTTGAAGGAAAATTATGGTCTATAGTAATGGTTAATAAGCCTTGAGTTCAAAATTTCCTCTATTCTGTTATCCTTTTGTTAAGGTGTTCAATTACATCCTATAGAGGTTCTTTCAGGGAAAAAAAAAGCTTTTTTCTGCAAAAATATTTAGGTTTTTTATTTTATTTTTTTAAGTTTCCCTATTATAACCCAAACATGAAGAATCACCAAAGGAAAAAATAATAATAATAACAATATAGTCCTTGAGATACAATATTCAAGGTTCTCATGGAAGAAGAAATAACCAATGTGGGTCTTGGCTACTTAATCAATGCAGACAAGAGATCAAATTAGTTCAGTGTTCAAATTTACAAACTACTGAATATTTTAGCCTACAAAAGACAGAAAGAAGCATACCATAGCATGGCACCAGATGAAAGAGAGAGCTTGATAATTGGCCAAAGATCCTTGAATGCAAGGAATGAAAAACCCTTCCATGTTTCGGGGCATCCTCCACAAATAACAAATAGAAGCTGTCCTATATTTGGTATCCAGTATGCTAAGATTGTTGATATCATTGCACCAGGAACTCTAAATTTATACTTGACTGTCAAAAGCCATGACAGAAAGATGTGGATTGAAAGTGAAAATGCTGCCAAGTAACTGATGATCATGTTTTTGCTTTGTGCTGAGAGAAACATTTGGCAGGTGAAGGATACAATGAATGAAAATGCCACAGGGATCAACCACAGTGCAATTGTCCCCGCCACCTCAGCTATAGCTTCATCCTGGCCTAAGAACCTCAAAATTGGGGTTGTGAAAAGGAAGACTGGAAGTAGAAATAATGAAGAAATGAATAGAACAATCCATGACCTTTGAAGATAAACACCTAGCATATGGTATTGCCTAGCACCGTATGCCTGCCCACATAGAGTTTCTAGTGCACTAGCCATGCCTAACTGCATACACCAAATGAATAATCAGTGTTACGAAAAACCCAAGAAATACCGATTCGAATGGCACTCAAAATGAAAGGAAAACAGAGATAGAAGTAAGCACAAAGAACACAGATTTACGTGGTTTGGCTTATAGCCTACGTCCACGGGGTGAATGAGGAGCAAAAATCCACTATATAGTCAGCAATCGAGAAGAAAACTCACAATCTCACTTACAGAATAAATCCTAATCACACACTCTGTAATAATGATTGAATTTTTCTCAGATTATTTTCGGACGGATTCATAAAGTGGGTCACTACAAAGAATTCAAGGCACAAACATAACAATCAGTCATAATGATTGAATATTTTTCATCAAGTAAAATTATGGTATATATGACTTGTAATGCATATCTCAGAATCAACAGATTTAGATTTTCAAAATAAAAATTATAAAAAAAGGCAAATTAATAAGTTGTCATTCTCAAAGAACCATTCAACCTAATATCTTACTTGATTTTACCCGTTTATGGTCCTACTAAAATCGATTGCAAGCCATGCATGTGGTTATGAATCTTTGACTGGACTTGGAACTCTTCTTGCTTTTTTCTGTGATTGCAGGAGGACAAGCAACGAAACCAAAGAATGAAAATGTAGAACAAAGCTGAATTTGTACTCATGTTTGGTTTTTTGGTTGTGTGGTTTTGCAGTTGTTTGCTAAAATTACATTTTTATATTGAAAGTGAAAGTCAATTTATTTCTTTTTTGCACTAAAAGTTTTGAAAACCTTGTTTGTACTATCATAAACAAACATAGCCCAAAATTTATCAATCAAAACTTGAACCAAGTTTGCATTTGTACTTTTATTTAACCGAATTTCCAGTAACATAGATACATACACTTTTTGCATTCTTACCAAACACAGCACAGGTAAAATACTAAGGCTGTGTTTGGGAAGGGCGCAAATACCAGTTCGGTGCATATATGCACTCTGGTTCAAATTTGCAAGTGTTTGGTAAGAATGTATTTGTATATTGATAATGACAGCAAATATAGATTTCAAGACACAATTGCATTCAAATGAGAGCAAAAGTTTGCATTAAAAAAAATGAATGCAAACTTTTGCATTCAAGTTGTTCAATGTAAAAAAAGTGAATTCCAATCTTGGGATTTGTGCTTGTACCTATCACAACTAAAAATCATTTGGCAAGAATACAAAATTATCATTACAAAGATAAACTAACTTTGCACTTTTCCGAACCAGAAGTTTGTATTTGACCAGGTTATTTTTGCATTTGTATTCTTCCCAAATGAAACTAATGTTGTCTTTGGTTGTAGTGCAAATTTATTTGCACTAGTACAAATATATGAGAGTACAAATGTAAAAAAAAATGTAAATTCTTGTTTAATTTTGTTTTGGATTATACTTATATGCTTCGTGTCTTAATTTACTTCATTTGTACTGCAATCAAATAAAATAAGCTAAAATTTGAAACAAAAATAGGTCAGAATTTACACTCAATCATTTGCACTGCCATGGTTTTATATCAGTGCAAATTTATTTGCATTACAACCAAACACAGCCTAAGTAAGATGATATGGTCCTCACCTTTATATGAGATGGAAATCATGATGATTGGTCCCTGCTTTATATGAGAGAGAATTGAGGTAAGAGAAAAGTGATGCGAAATTTGTATTGTTAGGGGCATACATCATGACAAATATGTGCAAGTTATGATTACAAACAAATATGTGCCAAAATTGTATCCAGTTCAGAATTGCACTGCAACAAAATAGAGCGCCTAAGGCACCATTCGGTTTAGAATTGATCCTGCTTGATGAAAGTAATTAGTGCCCCCATAGTTTTCTTAGCTTAAGGGCACTTGTACAAGGAAAGGATAAAGATATAAGATTGTTTTATATAATCACATTTAATTTTTTTGGCGAGCACCAAAACTAAGGCAAATATTCGCTTCGCTTTATATGATACCTTGTATGATCAATTTGCCCTCACCTTTTTATCCCATTTCTTTTAGGCTGTGTTTGGTTTGACGGAAAAAGTAGGGAAAGGTAAAGTTTGTAAAGATTTTTCTATCTTTCTCTTCCTTTCCCTACCTTTTCCTTCAAACCAAATACATACACATCTCGCTTCGCTTTATATGATACCTTGTATGATCAATTTGCCCTCACCTTTTTATCCCATTTCTTTTAGGCTGTGTTTGGTTTGACGGAAAAGGTAGGGAAAGGTAAAGTTTGTAAAGATTTTCCTACCTTTTTCTTCCTTTCCCTACCTTTTCCTTCAAACCAAATACAAACACATCCTTAGGTTAGCTCCATTATAAAAATTCAAATGCACAGGGATTCGTTTCACCGCCCCGTCCCATTACTGTAGCAGCGCTGTATAGCGGGTTCTTGCGGTCAATGGCAGACTCCCGACGTCATTCTCCCCGGCGAGTTTAAACAAGAAAAACGGTGAATTCCCTTACGTTGCAGTGTTCATTTCAGGTTTATAGGAAGTGGACGGCAAGGACAAGTACGAATAGCAATCTCTACAAATGACTTCCCAACTGGTGTCCCCTTCTCTGTGGTTGTTCTGTCTCTGCTTATGATATGTTAATTACGTTTACATTGCTAATTAAATAATTTAGTAGTTTAATATTTAAATAAAATAGGCTTAGATCATTCAACCGTAATAGTAAAAATAATTCAATAATAAATCGCATAATTCAAAATTAATATAGTAAAGTAATTAATTATTAAATAATTGCATAAGAGTTAATGACAATTGTTAATGATTTTGATGAATAATGCTATAATAACGTTTAATATTTAACGAGAAGTTCATTATTAAACAAATGTTAAAAAATACATATAATTATTTGTTAAATAATACTTATTAAATGGTCGTGATTAAGAATTATTTACTAACTTACAATTAATTTGTGGGTATTAGAAATTAACTAATAATAATTATTACTTATTAAATTAATATTTAATTAATAAAGTAACAAAATAATTAATAATTTTTTATAATTTAGTCACTATTAATTTTTAATCCTTTCATTAATTATATAACCCTTTATCAATTTTTGATCCTTTTATTAATTATTTAATCATTTTATTCATTATTTATTAAATTTTAAAATTATCCAATTTATTATTTAATCTGTTTATTAATTGTTCATCCTTTAATTAATTATATATTTTTTATTATTTAACTATTTTATTAATTACTAATTATTGCTTATATTTAGGGTAAAATCTAAAACCTCCCTCGTAATTTACTAAAAATCTGCAATTACCTTCCCACCATCTTTATTCAAATAATGAAGACTTCAAAGTTACGAAATTACCCTTACAACTTATTAGGGCATCTTTCAATATGATTCAAAATGATAGATTTGCCCTTCTAAACTTCACTAAACCTAATATTTTTAAAGAGTTAAATTACTTTATTCTTATCAATCTAATACGAAGATTTTTTTTTAATTAAAAGTGAAATTTTCTTGTGGGGGTATTTTAGTAAATTTTCATCTAAATTGATAGATATAAGGGCAAAATGGTACTTTCAAAAACTAATGCATTAAGGAGAACATTTTCCATCCAAGACAATAAGGAAAGGGAGGTAACTCCAAGTTTTATCTACAAGGGAGGTATGTAAAAGTTAAAACTTTTCACCGGGCGCTAAAACTAAAAAAATGCCCAAACCCTATTCAAACAATAACATCTCTCCCATCCCCACCATGGGATGCAAGTTCCTAATCTAATGCTTGAAGATGATCTACTTAGACCCCATTTGAGTAGTATATGGAACTAATATAGCATTTTTCAATATACATTTGGCCAGAGATTGAGCTTCCACAGTTAACTTGAGCCTTCTAATTAGGGGTATTCACGGGTTGGTTCAATTTGGTGGCAAGGTATTCGGCCAATTGGATTGACTTGGTCAGGTTGGGGAGTTGGTCACCCAAAACTAACTAACTATTGGTAAAAATCGGTCAACTCAAGTTGTATCAGTTTGAATCGGTTTTTGGTTTGGTCAGTGGTTTAAAAAGATTTAAATTTAAAAAAAATTAAATTTAACTTTAAAAATTACAATAGTATTATTTAAAAAATAAATTTATAATATAAAATATTTTAAACTATGAAATATGAAAATTTCTCACTTTCCCATATTAATATATGTCTATAGTCAGGTCAGTTCAGTTTTGGCCCATTTATAAATGACCAAACCGAAATTGATCGAACTTGATTGGGTTGAAAAATTACTAAACTAAAGCTGACCGTAAACTTTGATGAACAGCCATACTTTTGAGATAACGAGGGTAAGAGAAATAAGACACAAAGGTTGTCTCAATAACAAACCCATCTTAGGCTGAGTTTTGCTCAAATCTTTAGCGATTTTTTGTGGGATTTTTATTGGCTCAAAGAAAGATTTTGGACCTTTTGGTTAGTAATGAAGAAAGATTTATGGGTTTGATTTGATATTTTCTCTTTAGGCTCCATTTGGTTTGTGGGATGGGGATGAGAAAAAGCAAATATTCCAAAAATATTCATTTTTCTCTCATTTGTTTTGAGGGAAATAGATGGATGGGATGAGAAAAATGTGGGATGTTAGATCCCAAAGTCGTGGATTTGGGGTTGAGAAAGCACTGTTACCATCGACGACAAACAGAGGAGGCAACCAGCGTCGACGAACAAAGGAGGGAGAGAACCAGTGCCTTCCCCGTTACCATCGGCGATCTGCTACCTCCCCTTCCCCATTCGAACCCAAAAGTAGGAGTTGGTTCGCTGAGATTTCATCGACGGCTCTGGTAGCTCTTCCTAAGTTTAAGGCGAATCCGGCAAAGCAATACCTTCTATGTCTAGCCTGAACTCAATTGGTGTATAGAGGAGATCCGAGCTCGATTCGATTTCAGAGTGCCTCTCTTTTGACAAGAACAATGATTTGTGAGTGTTGGGTTTATGTTGAAAACGATACGAGAAACATGATATACTCTAGTGTACTTCTTCCCTCACCATCAATAGAGACGTTCGACAGAGGACTAATGAACGAAGAAGAGGATGGAGGGAGAAGGAGAGGAATACGTGAGTAAGATTTAGAAATGGAGAGAAATGGGGGTTTGGTCTGCTACTACCTATTAGTCCGAAGGTAGGAGATGATGAATAGTCACTCCCCTTCCTCCTTTTTCTTCTTCTTCCGAATAGGAAAATTAGGTTTCTCTTTAGTCTGAACAATTTGCTGCTACCTATTAGTCCAAACTACTATCTCCAGCAGCACTGTTCGCTTTCCAATGGTGACCAATGGCACTGTTCATTGTCTTCAATTTCTGCCGATGAAATACTATTCATCTTCCTCTTGGTGAAACAGAATACCCCACAACAAAGAAGTAGTTCGTCACAGTGCTTTTCCCATTATTTTTCCATATATAAAACCAAATAATAGAAGTATAGGCTTTTACACTTTTCTATCCCATCCCGTCCCATCTTTTCCTATCCCACCTAAATCTTCCCACAAACTAAACGAATTCTTATTTKCTTTCCATCATTGAAAGGGTGAACAAGGTTTTAATTGCCACAGGAGTGTATCGTGAAGCCACTGATATTTTGAAYCTTGGGGGTGAGGGGATTTGTTGCCATCAAGAGGCGAGCTCCCATTACTTTTCACCCTTTGCAAAACATTATGATTGAAGGGTACATGCATTTTGTGGACTAAAGGGTTTATACAATGTGAGTTCCCATCAAGAGCCTTCCACGTCACCCCAATCTTTACCAATGTGATTGTGYTGCAGCTTATAAGATGACAAGTGAAAGATAAAATAATATATTTTCAAAAYTATCCCTGGTCACCTAAGCTATGCTTATTTTTTCTTTGTTCACAAACTCCATAASGCATAAGCCACTTTCTCTGGATAAGGATTAGCTCAATAAAAATACATGTTCATTATGGGTCCTACGTACTTTTGCACCGGCATGGGCATTAATGCATTACCGGTGGTTCCACATCGGTCAACAGCTATCACGTTCAATTAATTCGAATTTACTTTCTCTTCTCCCTAACAATGTTGAATGGTTGATTAACATGGCGTCTGTTTGGCATCAATCGGTTACACATCAGCATCACTRCGGAAAATACGATGYTCCAATAAATGCCTGTTTGTTTGTAATCAATTTTTTATAAAAAATAGTGTTTCAAACYAYATATTGAAAATTGAAAAAACGTRGTTTTGAGCAATGYAAAATTTGGCATTTTTTCAGATTATAACTTRTTGCTACCAATGAAAATATAATGYGATAGTGATATGGACTTCTTATAATGGGTACTAATACTGAAAACAGACATAGAGCATTAGTACCAAACAGAAAGTGTTGTTGCTTCAGAAAGCATCCTATCTGTTGACAACATTTCCAAATAGAAAAAAAAACACTGCTTCAGCAACACCATTTCTATATCTGCAACATCATGCATCGATGCCAAACATATACATGATTCATCTTCCAAAGAATGGAAGGGGCAAGAAGGGCCAATTCTAAGACCTARTAGGAATCAACGTTTTAAAAAATGACTCGGAAACAGAACCGTTATGATCACTAATTTCTGAGTTGATGGTTTGATCGTCCGGAACAATGGCATATGGATCAACGAATTTAAACGGATGGCCAGTTCTGACAAATAAATTAAAAAAAAATAAAAGAATAAGTCATGAATCAACAGTTCGATCGTACGGATTATTGATTTTTTTAACTAGAAAATTCGATCATCTTCACTACTTAGGCTGAGCATGGAGCCAAGGGGATGAATTGATCCAAAATTCATGCTTTTCACACTTGGGCAAGTCATCTAAGGGATATTAGTGATATCCCATGATTTAGTCATGGGATTTATGAATCCGTACTTTAATCTTTAGGGGTTCTAAAAACCTTTATAGCATTTTGCTACATTTAGGCCTTAGAAAAAGCACAAAAAAGTAAGCCTTTACATTCTTCTTTTATAAACACTTTTGCTTTCCAATCTCAGTGTTACCAAACAACACCTAATGAAATTTTCACTATMAAAAATTCCCTTTGGATCTTTTCCCCTTTTCTCTCCCTATTTTCCTTTTTTTAACACAAATTATTTGTTTTATACGCTGTCTTAAATGCAAAAAAACAGGAGAAAGTGTGAGAAATACAGATGGTATATGATGATTTAACTAAGCTGCATGTTTTAAAAGAGAAGAGCAGATGGGTTTTTCATAGAATCGAAATTATTTTGGTTTAAGCTGTTTAACTGTTTTAAATGCAAACAAACAAACAAGAGAGAAAATTGAACACTTACCAGGATCCCATTAGCGAACCTCAGGAGGACGGTGCCAACGAGGGCATAGGCGGCCATTTCCGTGGCGCCAATATGTCCAATGAAAGCCTGGCTGATGACAGAAATTCCAAACGTCGAAAACCTGGTGAATATGGAGGGACCAGCTACGATCCATAACTTTTTAGACTCTCCCCATATCTTGCTCTTCAACTTCTCCCCCTCCTCTTCTGTCGGCTCTAGAAGCTTTCTGTTCAACTCGCTGTCCATCTCCTCCACTTCTCTTTCTCTTCTCCCAAAAACAAAACACCTCAATCAACCTCAGCCCAATACCTCGAATTTTACTAACGTCGTTGAGCTGCGATAAAAAAGAAAGAAATCTGTCTCACACTGACACGCTGCAGAGATTCCACCGAACTTTGTCTTTACTCTTGGCTCCTTCACATAGAAAACAAGCATCAATGGATCACCGGCCCGTGCATGGAAAACACCGCCGTGCAGGCTGCAGCCGAGATTCTTTCAAGCGGGCGGCAACGCTTTGTTGACTACCGTCTCCGAGCAGTCCGACTTCGATCATCGACATGCCATGATGGCAATAACAATTCTTTCACGACCCCGCGTTAATGGCCGGTGTGGTGGTGTAAGAACTAAGAAACGTATGGCTAATTTTAGAGGAGAGCATTATTGCTGGTCCCACATTCTGGAAATGTAATAAACTTGGATTCCTGTAAGAGTTCACTTTTGCCACGACAACAGTCTGTGGCGCTGGGATAAAACAGTGGCCCCACAGATACGTTACTTCATGTCAGGCCGACATCAAAAAATTGATTTCGTTGGCCCCACCAATACATGAGTTCACATCACTCACAACAAGCCGTCCCACAACACTCTACAGCACATCCTGCCGTGTATAGAAAACATTTTCACAGGATAGACATCATGGGTTTCCGGTATTATCATATGGAGATGTTCCAAATTAGTACTATCATCTGAAAATGTTTTCAATACACAATGATCTCCCAATACACAGTGTCATAGGAAATGTGGTTGGTGCTTTATTTGGTGGAAAACCTCTGTACTTCATAATTTGTCATTTTAGTGAATTTTCGTCACATGGCATCTGATTCGCCTTGGGATCTACTATTCATAAGTTGTACCCACATCTAAAACCACTGACCACCACGACCATGAATTGGGAATATCTCCCCATAAATAATATTACATGAGAAATATTCTTAATATGAAAAATTGTTATGTTTGGTGGATAGCAGATCCGAAGTCTAATTCTTTAAAAATAGACCGATAAAGTTAAAATTTGATAGTCCGTGTAATGATAATTTTACGTATATCTACCCACATGTCATTGCAATTATAATATTATGCACGGAGATATAATATGTTGTGAGTGGATGTGGACAGAGTTATTATGTGCAGGAGATATAGAGTCTTATTTAATAGTTTCAAATGCATGGTTGGGATGTGGTTAGAAAAATGTTGGGACTCAATGCAAATGCAGGAGTTGGAAAAATATATATATATATGTCTAGCTTCTTTCGCTATATAATATTGTCCTCACAAATTGGCCCTTGTGTCGTCTTCACAGCGATACATTTGGCAGATCCAATATTGGCTATATGTTTCAAATGCCAGCTGTAAAGGTTGTGATGGTCGTGTGAAGACTAAATTTAAGAGGATGAAATCGAGATTATATAGAAAAGGGTTCAACTATAATAATGAAAAGAAATGATATTGAAAAGCTTATAGGCAATGATCTTTTACCAACAATACTTTTAATTCGGTCCCAACGAATCACTACAGCCGTATATTGAGATATCACTAATATCATTCATGAGAAAATGTTTTAAATGTATCACAGTAATATACWGTTGGGACTAATTGGAAGTATTATGTTGGTAGCAGATCTAAACTCCTAATCAACTCGCATCATAAAAATAATAACTAACGAGATGAGTTTAAATCAAAAGTCATGAGGTTTCTGATTGGTTAAAGTCATAGGAGTATGTATTTCTATCATGAATTTTTCCAATAAAATAATATATTCATGTCTTTCTATGATGGACAGAGTAGCAATTTAATTTGTAATTTTCTACTTTTTATTTAATAAAATTTATTGATAAGTGGTGAAGTTAGGTAAAGCTATACAAGTTATCAAATAAAATAATAAATTGCGCACCACACACCGACCTCACAAAATGTTTCAGCGGTGTAATGGAAACATCTTGAATGGATATTTTCAAGTCGGGGTCACGCTTGGAGGAGCAGATTCAAATTCATTTTTTTTTTTTATAATAAAGGAAATCATTTCATTAAAGGATGAGAGTGTCTACAAGTGAAGTCCTTATAAATGGAGATAGTTATGAATGTGATGAGGGCGGATTTGGCCCTCCAATGACATTATGATACCTGGTACCTTATGACAATTAAATACTAATTTTCATCAGGTTGCTACAGAACGAGCTCGAGTACATTAATGTCCCAAGCTAAAGGTACTTCAGGTTGAGTCCATCCCAGTTCGCGAACTTAAACAACAGCACCAAGTTCTCAGCAGTCCGAATCCAAGCAAGTGGGCCACCTCGAAGACGACTTACCTCAGGAAGAATCACCTCGGCATGCCACCAGCAGCTCGTCACGGGTAGCTCGCTACAGGGTTGCTCGTTGCCAGGTAGCCCGATGTCTCGCGAGAAGCTTCCTGCCTGACAGGACTGTACCTGCCAACCCTGAAGACTGCACCCACATCCCTTATCTAGCAGCACAGTATCTGCCAACTCTGAGGACTGCACTCATGTCTCTCGCCTAGCGGCGTCGGGCCCACCAACCCCGGAGGTTGTCTCCTGCTTAGCGGGACTGTACCCTACAACGGTTGCATTAGCCCACCTGCTCCCCAGTCCTAACGATGACAGCTAGTCACTCCGAAACGTTACCTAACAACAGATCACCGAGGCAGAGCTTCAGGATCAATCCCACCTAACCTGTCAGGATGCCAGGATATAAGGACTCTGATCCCCTAGGGGCCAAGGTATCGCATATTCACCACTCTCTAGCTTTCTCATTTTCTTGTAACCTCATTCTCTTCCAGCAACTGAATTCTAACTTAAGCATCGGAGTGTTCCCGCCGAGTGAACAACCCCGGGTTCCTTCATCTCTCTTCACGCAAGAATCTTTGCCCATCGCCAGCTAAGAGTTCAGCCGCTTCCAGCTAGGAGTGGTCAAATTGTGCATCATCAATTGACGCCGTCTGTGGGAAACGTTTCAAAAAGCTTTCTTTACCGAACTTTCACCAGCATTAATGGCGTCTGCTAGCAACGCCGGGCAGAACAATGAAATAAACATTTCTAGGGGGCACCTTCAGGCTCCCACCGTGCGTATCGATCAATTTACTGTACCTCTTAGCACTTTTGAGGTCCCCACACTGAACCTATCCCAGATCGCCGAGGTGGTGAACACCCCACTCCCTTCTGCGGTGAACACCACCTTCACTGAACCCTCCGTGGTTCCACCCGTAGTGGGGAAAAACCAGTTGGGTGACCTGGTACAGTGCGTACGGGCCATTTAGGCCCAAATGCAGCAAGTCCAGCAGCTTTAGTACTACCAGAAACAAGTCTTGTGTCATTTCTACCAGCAACAGTTCCCAACGCTGTAGCAGAGCCGATAGCCAACTCCGTCACGATGCCCGATAACGCCATAGAACCAGCAGCCGCTCAACCGCCGCCAAAGTAGCCGCCCTCCTCACAGGGGAGAAACCTCTCAAGCCTCATCCCGTAGCAGGAGAGAGCCAGAAGCTCCCACCACCTCGCGGCAACACTCGCCCCGCCAAGGCCGGTCCGCCCCAGTGCGCGCAACCGGAAACCTCACTGACAGGCAACCGATTCGAAATCTTGGTCGCGAGCTCTGAACGAGACCCTTCAGTTCGTGGAAGCTAGTATCAGCCTGACTCTCACCAGGCCAAGACCCGGCCTGACAGTACTAAAGCAAGCAGCACCAACACGGATCCCGCTAAGGAGCAGCCAAGATGGCGTCCCAAGGTGTGCCGTGCGGCAATCCCTGAACAGCTCGCGGATCCCAGCCGACCCGAACAACCCAAAGGTAAGACGGGAGCGAGCTCGGGAGTTGCGAAGACCGCCCCTCTCCTCTCGGTGCCATCTCCCCTCTCCCCCGATCTCCTAGCAGCTTCCATGCCAAAGGACTTCAAGTTACCCCCTCTAGACAAGTACGACGGGCCATTTTACCCAAATGATCATGTGGACTCCTTCTAGGCCAGTGAAGCCTGCATGTGTGTTGCCTTTTCCACGACCTTCAGAGGAGTAGTGCGCACGTGGTATAGAAACCTCCCATCCGGAGCAATCCAGAGCTGGGCACAGTTCGTACAAGCATTCACCTCGCAATTCGTTACTCGCAAGAAGTGTCCGAGATCATAGGAAAGCCTTCTTAGCATAGTCCAGAAAGAGGGAGAGTCCATCTGGAGCTACATCAAGCGCTTCAACGACACCTCTCTCCTGATCCCGGACCTAGACCCCACTGTGAGACTCACCGTAGCAAAGAGAGGAGTCACTCACCGGGAGTTCAAGTGGCACGTAGTGGTGAGCAAGCCCAAGGACATCACTGCATTCCTCAAGCTCGCTGACCAATTCATCGAGACTGAAGAGGAAATTAATCAAAAATCCGGAGCTCCAGTAGAGAAGAGGAGGAGAGACGATGACAGGATGCACCACAGAAGCGGAACGTCCTTGTCGGTGACCTGGTCCTTCGGAAAGTAATGGTGCCTGATCCCAGTGTGGGTAAGCTTGGACCAAACTGGGAAGGTCCCTACCGAGTAAAGCGAGTACTCGGGGAAGGTACATACGAGCTCGAAACGTTAGAAGGAAAGCAAGTACCTCGAGCTTGGAACATCAGCAATCTAAGACAATACTACTTGTGATCGTTGAACCAGGGAGCTGACTGAGAGTCATTCCTAGAAAGCCTAGGAGTGGACTACGAGTCGCTCCCAAGGCCTGAGAATTGACGGATTCGTCGCTATATAAGCCCCAGTCACCTCTTCGGCATGGGCAAACTTTAGGAATGGACTCCGAGTCGCTCCCAGAGCCTAAGGGCTAAAGTGCCGAACTGGCAAAGACCTCGGCACTGCATAAGCCCCAGTCGCCTCTTCGGTATGGGCAAACTTTAGGAGTGGACTCTAAGTCGCTCCCAGAGCGTAAGGGCTAAAGTGCTGAACTGGTAAAGACCTCGGCACCGCATAAACCCCACTTTCCTCTTTGGCATGGGAAAACTTTAGGAGTTGACTCAAAGTCTTTCCTAGAGTCTGAGGGCTAAAGTGCCGAATTGGCAAAGACCTCAGCACCGCATAAGCCCCAGTCGCCTCTTCAGCATGGGCAAACTTTAGGAGTGGACTCCGAGTCACTCCTAGAGCCTAAGGGCTAAAGTGCCAAACTAGCAAAGACCTCGGCACCGCATAAGCCCTAGTTGCCTCTTCGGCATGGGCAAACTTTAGGAGTGGACTATGAGTCGCTCCCAAAGCCTAAGGGCTACAATACTGCATAAGACCTAGTCGCCTCTTCGGCATGGACAAGCTAAGTCCCAGTCGCCTCTTTGGCATGGACACTTAAGACTCAATCGCCTCTTCGGCATGGGCGAGCAAG